GCCAATATCATACTGAATGGGCAAAAACTGGAAGCATTCCCCTTGAAATGTGGCACCAGACAAGGATGCCCGCTCTCACCACTGCTATTCAATATAGTATTCTGCGGCACTTCTAATTTGTTACTTGACTATTGTCTGTTTTCTTCCTCTTAAGTAATCTGAAAACTTGTGTATATCCTCTGCTCATAGCAGAATGCATGATACATGGTAGATGCTTAATAAATATTTGAATAAAAGATTACTTTAGGAAGGCCTTATAATTATAGTTAATGATATCCTATCCTATACTGATCCTCCTGCCTTCTGTGAGAATCTGTTTTAAGCAGATAGGCCTTAGTCTCAACCTGTGTAAATAAATAGCACTTACTGAAGACTCTCTGGTCACTTGACTCAAATTACAGTAAATGAGATGACTGAAAGGGAGAGGTGTAGTAGAGGGCGAGTAGTTTTCTGTCACTGGAGCAAATAAAATGAGTGGGGAGTAAGTGATAGATGATATTCCTAATATTACTGAATAAGCACCATTCTTTATTAATCAAAGTGATGAAACGATCCCATTGCTTATGTTCTTAAATTTCCCTTGCTTGTATAACCCAGGTAAGAGGTTCCCAAATTGTGGTGGCATCATACTTTAAATACATGCTGAGGTTGACACCCTATTTGGACTACGTATAGTCACTCTCTGGTTTAGCATCATCGTAGGAGGGTCCACACTAAAACTACAAATCAGTAGCTAAATGGTTGTTCTTGCATTTCTGTTCCAAAATATAATCAAATGAGTTGATTTGTGAGGCCAAGATAATTCAATGAAACCATGTTTGCATTTTGGCAACTTCTCTATGCAACAAATGTAATTAAATTTAACAAGTTTGTTTTTCTTTTCTTTATTTTTTTGACCTACTACATATAGTATATTTTACTTAGTACTGAGAATCAAAGTTGCATTCATCAATGTTTTCAACTAACATACATTGATTATTTATTATGATCTAGTTTCCCCTTGGGATATCTGGAAATAGAGACAAATGAAATACAGTCTCTTCTTTTGCTTGGAAAATGTCTGGAGGAAATATCAATAATTCAATAAAAATCATAAGCTGAGAACACAAGACAAATTCTTGTTAAGAGAAAATATGTGGGTCACTTGGCATCCTGAAATACTTGAACAAGTTTTCTACATTACATGAGTAGCAGATGTTCTGAAGGTGAAAGTCATGTACTCTGTCTATTCAGTGAAGATAAATGATGATAATGATGTCTCTGTATCTGGAGATGCTCACGTTAATGCTAGGGCTCATGGGAGATATTATATCTAGTGACCATCATATACCCATAATTATCAACTCTTAGTCACTGTGAATTACGGTTCAAGAGGCTTGTTCTATCTTGTAATGTCATGTACTGTCTAGTTAATTTAATATTATGGACAATAAAAGGCATCGATGAGGAATTCTGACAGGTCATTTTACTTTATTTGTGGTTTGGAGATTCATGAAGAAGCTGTGCTTTTTCTTTTGGGTGATAATTACGTAGAGGCAATAGGCAATTTTGGTGCATTAGCTTTCCCTAGCCTCATTTGATCTAGCCTCTAACCGTGCTGTGGCTTTGGTAGCTGGCAAAGCCAATTGCCAGTCCTAATGTTTCCTATAATCCACTTAGATTACTTATGCACATAATGACTTAGCAGCAAAACCGGGGAGGCAGGGTTATTTTTTAATAATGTTTAGCTTCCTCAAAAAGCAAAGAGGTGATACAATTAAATATCAGCTGATTTGAAGATTAATTCTATGCAGAAAAATGGATATGTGGATGAGGCATACAGGAAGCAAGGGTTATTTTCTGGGGCAGCATAATGACTTTAATGGATTAATCGATGCGTGTTTTTGCATCTCATTTGTACATGTGTATAAACATATATATCAATGCAGACCTTCTTGTTTGAGGGATATTGTAGTGGTACTAAGAATTATTTTGTGGCTTAATTTATACCCAAATAGACCATGTTAATGACTATCAATATCTTGAACTGGAGAAATTATAGGCATTTTTTTTTTCATCCAGGGTAAAAAGCCACACTCAACCTCTAAAATTTATATGTAACTTCTAAGACTTCCTAGCTCAGAAGGATCAAGCATTGCTCCTCCAATATTTGTTTTTCTATCTTGTTTCAGCTACCATTGACAATGAGTTTTAGAATGCTACATCTAAGGAAGACATGACAGTTACGTGTGTCTCTCCTCCCTTCCTGATTCCCAGTTGCTGCCGCAAAGCATTTCATAAGAGCACTTGTCCACAAATGAATTTTTTCCTCTTCTTTTTATTAGTAATCAGGAAAATTTATAGGTTATTTATTATGAGGAGAGTATAGCACAATTAGATTTATCCCAAAGAATGCTAATTATGTTCCAGAAACTCAATTAAGAAGCTGTTACTAGGATTTCTGTGCAAGTACAATGTAGAGAGGATATAAATGCCCCAAGGTCAGTGCTATGGTAAGAGGAAAAGCATATAGCTTCAGATGAAAGTATGCTATAAAATCCATAGCTCTTGTCGCTGGATGCTCAGGGTATTTGTTAAGCCACAAGGCTGCAACACCAGAAAGGAGGGAACTTAGAGGTACAAGTGAAAGTGGTGAAATGCAAGCAACTTACAGGCCATTTCAGTTCAGTATAGGCTGATGAATGAAGAATGTTCTAGCCTGGCCAAAATCTGAGCAAACTGGGGACTAGTAAGATTTGGGAATATAAGGGGTGGTTTTTGACATCAGTGAAAGGGCTTGGAAATG